ATAAAGCTTACACGGCGATACAGATCGACCTCGATCTGGATCTTCCTTACGACTACTGCATGATATCAGTACTGTCTCAGCAGAGGGGCCAACCATCAATACATATCTTAAACGTGTACTGTCCCCCTCACCTTGCGAGGGCTTCGTTTGCGCATCGCTTCCAACGGGCGGTGCGCATAGCGGCCCGGCAACTACTGGTGACTGTCGAGGACTTTAATGCCCAAGCCCTCACTGGGCTTACCACTACGAGAAGGCCCGGGGCAGATAGCTCAAGGAGCTCATTTCCTCGCTGAGCCTCACGCTTCTTACGGATCCGGCACAACTCACACGTTCCGGCAACTCGGTGACGCGAGACACATGCCCCGACCTCTCCCTCACCCGTCACATCCTCGATGCTACATGGGAAAATTTAGGCGATACCCTAGACAGCGATCACTTTTCACTCCGCATTTCGTTCACACCACGGCAGAAAATGCGCCAACACTGGGGCCAAGGCCGTCTCACCGATTGGGCTCAGTTCAGAATGCAACCATTCCCCGCCGTCCTCTCCTCGACCAAATATGCAGCGTGGGCATCATACGCCCTCCATATGAAACAAACGAACACTCGCACCCTTGCAACCTCTAATTTGACTCCTGCAATGAATCCACACCTCCTACATCTTTGGCACGCTCGCCGCGGGCTCGTAAGGCACTGGAAACACAACAAACTTAATCGGAAACTTCGCGCTCGCATTGAGGTGCTCACTGCAGAGGCGGCCGCATACTCTGCGCAACTTTCCGATGCTAACTGGGCAGACACCTGTTCGAAGGCTGCAAACCAGATGAGCTCTAAGAGTGCGTGGCAACTCTTTCGAAGCCTTCTCGATCCCTCCACCACCAGGGGAGAAACGCAACGCCAGGTCCGCCGTGCTCTGCATGCCTTTCAGGGCACTACGGATCAACTCGCGCGAGAACTTTGTGACCGCTACATCTGCCGCACTATTGATCCCGCAGGCCCAGCATATACGTATTCCGACGCCCCTAACACCGACCTCGACGCCCCATACACGCTTCCCAATTTACGATTTGTACTCACGAAAATGCGACGGGGCACGGCCCCTGAACGCGACGGAATCACAGTATCGCCACAGGCAAATCTTCCCGACCAAGCACACCTCTCGCTACTCCACCTTATAAATTCGATATGGGACGGCTCTCCGCTTCCAATGGAATGGACCACATTGGTTGTGACATTCATACCCAAATCGGCAAAGTCCGTTAGTATCGAGATACTGAGACCCATCTCACTTACGTCTTGCGTAGGCAAACTCATGGAAACCATGGTTCGCGAACACCTTTCCGCCTACTTGGAGGCCAGGAGGACTTTTGCCGACACGTTGTTTGGCTTTCGCCCACATCTGTCGGCGCAGGACGTCCTGCTCCAGCTTCAACACGATATCATAGAGCCGACTACTATGCGCCATAACGATAAAGCCGTGCTCGCTCTCGATCTCCGCGAGGCGTTCGACAACGTCAAACACAGCACTATACTCACTAACCTGTCTACCATAAACTGCGGGCAAAAGACTTTCAACTACATTCTCGCCTTTCTATCACATCGCACCGCCTTCATTCGCCTTAATTCTACCGAACACGGCCCATACTTATTAGGCACGCGGGGTACACCTCAAGAGGCAGTCCTGTCTCCTCTGCTTTTTAACCTGGCGATTATGAACCTACTCTCTCTTCTAAGTGAGGTCGAGGGAATACAACACGCACTATACGCGGACGATATTACAATCTGGACCAACACCGGCTGCTTAGCTTAAATTGAAGAACGCCTGCAAAAGGCTGCCCTTCTGGTGGACACCTACGCTGGTTCATGCGGCCTGGAGTGCTCACCAGCTAAATCGGCTCTTGTTTCAGTATCTCCGCTACCGCCGCCTCAAGTTTTTCTTTCGACCGGGCCCGTCTCGTCAGTGCAAAATATTCGGGTTCTTGGCCTTAACCTCACGTCGTCCTTGGATCCAAAGGGCACAATAGTAGGCCTCAGACGCACCAGCGAACAGGTGAGCCGCATGATACGGCGAGTTTCTACCAAGCGCGGCGGCCTCCGCGGGTCTCAGTCCCTCCGATTGGCCCACGCGTTTGTGACCAGTCGAGTCTTCTACGCCTTGCCTTACCTTCGCCTGCGTCGTTGACACGAGCACCAGCTGGACGTCCTTCTTCGTTCAGTATACAAACGCGCTCTGGACCTACCTATTTCAACTTCCAACAGCCGATTCGTGGCCCTGGGGGTACACAACACCTTCGCAGAGATGCGCGAAGCTCATCGCGTTAACCAAATCAATCGACTGTCGCGGACGCCTTCAGGGCGCCGTCTTCTACACGGACTTGGCTTTAACCCGATATCTGACCAAGACCCTCTGCAGCCGGTACCAGAGCTCTGGCGTCAAAAGCTATGGGTGGAACCTCTACCCCGTAATATGAACCCCGAACTCCGTCCTGGCCGTAGACTAGCACGCGCCGCGGCCCTTCATACGCGACACTCCGATCGTCCTGCTGTTTTCTACGTGGATGTCTCGGGTCGCTCCCCCTCGGGTCACTTCACGGCTGCCGTGATTGCAGAGGGCAAACACGTCGATGACCTCTCCTTTCAAGCAGACACAGTAACGCACGCTGAAGAGGTTGCCATAGCTTTGGCCGCCTCTCACCCTGCCTCACGCACCATCCTGACGGACTCGCGCTCGGCCTGTTCTCAGTACCTTCAGGGTTCCATTGCCCCGCTGGCGGCTAGTCTACTACAGGCAGCCTCTTCGCGCTTCAACCCTCATCCCATTCGTATAGTCTGGACCCCAGGCCACTCTGGCCTGCCCGGCAACGAGGCGGCAAATGCCACTGCCCGCGCTTCTCCTGTCCGGGCCGTTGCCCCTCCATTTCCCGAGGCGGAATCTGGCAATACCAACCTGACGTGCTTTCACGAAATTTTGTGTTATTACCGGGCTTCGCGCCGCCTCTACCCGGACCCCGCACGCGGTTTGGAGAAAGCGGACGAACGACTGCTACGCCGCCTGCTGACGAACACCTTTATCAGTGCGGCGGTCGCCAGCACTTTTTGCCGGAAATCAATGGCACCTGCTCGACCTGTCATGTCCTCGCCGACACATATCACGCCGTAGCATCATGCCCAGTTAATCCCGTTCTTTTCTCATCCCCCTTTTCTATCCCAACTAGAGAGGCTTGGGAGGAGCACCTGTTCGGCTGCTCTGCCTTGGCTGCGCAACGCTCCTTGGTGGAGCGCGCACGGGCAGCTTCAAGCTCTACTGACATCCCGGAATAGGGTCTGGCCACTCTAGCACGCCGATGGGCCACGTCGGCACTCTCTAGTTGACTTTTTCTAAATTAAATGTTTTTTTACCACCACCACCACGCCCAAAGTTACCGCTATCGACGAAGATTTGACATTATTGAAGGCAACAGACAGTGTGTCAAGATTCAAGTAATTTCGTATCCATGTTTGAACAAGTGTTCATGCCCAATGCAGCAAGCCTTATATCCAAGAGAGTATAGAACACAGCCTCGAATGCTTTTTGAAAATCTCTAAAAATAGCGCCTACACGACCATTGTTATCAATGACTTTGAATACAAAATGCTGAAACTCCATTAGTTGTGTGTTACAGGAATAACCTTTTCGAATGCTGTGTTGGGATGGAGTAAAAAAAAGCGTATAATTCAAGGAGTTCAAATATATTGGTATGTAGAATGTGTTCAAATATTTCGCAACATATCAAAATTAGTGAGATGAGCCTGTAATTTTCTGTGAGCTTTCAATCTCCAGATTTGAAAGCGGGTGTAATATTCGCGGTCTTCCAATCTTGGGGAATAAGACTACTTTCGAGCGAGAGTCCGCAGATGATACCTAAATATAAATCAATATTTGATGGCTTTATTTGAGGACTACTGGCTTTTGTTATTTGAGGAATATGGCTTTTGTTTCACCAAAGCGGTGCTATAATGAGTCGACACCACTAACATCAATTTCAATGTTTCGCATCATATTGCTCAAAGCAGTGCTATTTAGAATCGGTGCCCGCTCATTAGTTTCATGCGAGGACGCTTATTGCAAATATGATTGAAACATTCTGCTCTCAGGTATTTTGACGTCCCGACTGTCCTAATAAAGATGGTATAGATATATTTTATTTTCGGTTCTGCTTTACATATTTCCGGAATGACTTCGGGTTGTATTTTAATGGTTTGCCCAGTTTAACAAAGAAAGAAACCTTCGCAGATTTATTGTTGCTTTTATTATAAAATATTTATTTGATATAAAATATTTAAATTTTCAATATAAAATATTTATCATCCAAGTGCTTGCTAAACTAGAGTTCGCAGAAAATGTTTTAAACTCGCGTCTATATTTCCTAATAATTTGTGTATTTCCGCGTTAAACGAAGGTTTATGCATTTTCTGTTTGTGCAGGTACCTACAGTAAACATGACTTTAGACCAATCTGAGTATTGTGTCGCGGAATGTTGAGAAAGAACCAACAGACAGCGTGCTTTTGAGTTATGCTTGAAAGTAGAAAGAGAAATTTTCTAGTTCAGTTCTAATAGCAACAAGATCTCCTCTGGCATAGCTGAAAACTTCTTTGTGGAACCTGTGATGTCCGTACGCGCTGTACGATAACCTCTACGACAACGGCCCTGTGGTCGCTAATACCTCGGCACACAGTAATACCTGACACTAAGTTTGCTTCATTCCAAAACACCAAATCTAAAATCAAGTTTTCTCGTGAAAGTCCCAGCTTGTACTGTTGTAAATCTTACAATCCAAGCAGAACTTCAAACTCTAAGTAGATACGGGAACCATCTTCAGTACCAACCTCCAGCACTCCAACTAAAGTTTGGCAAGTCAAAATCTTCACAAAAAAATACGCTCTCTTTATAAAGACCACGCAAATATTGATAGGTTCAACATTGTGGGGATTATTTTGTTCAAACAAACAAACAGAGAAATTTATTGCTAGAACAGGATTTATTGCGTGTTCATATGGTACAAACTACAGACACTTAATCTGTTGGAACAAAAATAATGACCTTGATTCTTAAGGGGCAAAATGATAGCGTGTGGTGCGTGTGCCGGTTTTTCTTAGATACATGTACTGAATCAATCAAACCACGCGCATCTTTTAATACCACCTAACAAAGTTTAGTCCACTACCTATCTGCTGGTCGTATCATCATTTGAACCTTTGGGTAAGAGTAGTGCAACATATAAGTAATCATAGGGCTCTTTTCCCACACAATACCATCACCCAGGCTATCGTGATGGCCATTAAGATTCAGCCCGTTTAGGTTACCACCGAGACAATTACTGTACCACCAGCCTCCTCGAAAACGCACCGCACAGTTGAGCCTATAGAGACTGTTGTCACGATCGTAGGTTGAAAACTTTTGGCCTGAAAGATGTCCCATTGCGTCCCACTCTGAAAAAAAAGAGAAGCGGAAGACATGCGAGATTCGTGAAAACTGTTTGCTGTTTTTTTAAAAAAGCTATTTCTCTCCAATGGCAGTTAGCATTTAATGAAAGTAAACTATGTAAGCAATTTGTGAATAAAAAACTTAGCTCACAAAAAACAACCAAATACAAGAACAAAAAAGTGCCGCCCTCATCTCCTCTCAGTGGGGGGGAGGGTACTCGAGTAAATGCGTCGTAGATTGGTGGGTGTATCGCATGAGTGTTGCGTAATGGGGTTTGGTTTGGGAATGTGTATTTGTTGTTTCATCTTCCTTATTTTTACTTATTGAATGAAGGTGAAGCTTTGCCTTCAACGTCAAGCGAAAGCTAAGACGCCCTTGACTAAATTCCTAACGCGTGGTCCATTGCCTACATATATGGGCTAAGCCAGTGAGTGCTTGTGCAGCGTGAGTATTTGTTAGTTTTCCTTTTCTTTTTTGTAGCGGACGCTGTCTGCTTCGGCACTGCGAAGCGGGAGAGGGGAGTGACAGTTTTGCGGGTGTCTTCCTGGTCCGGCACGACACGCGCGCAGGCGGCCAGACACAGTAAGGCTATGGACGGGACCACGACACCGAAGTGCGACATCGCGCGACTAAGAAATGCTTCGTGTTTAAAAGCGCAGCTCAGCTTCTTTAAAAGCTATTTCCAATGTTAAGGGAAGAAAAGTTACTCAAACTGTTTTATCATGCACTCCCATGCCAATTCAGCAAAACCTTCTTGAAGCGCAAGAAATGGGCGTATCTATGGTGGGGGGGGGGGGGGGGTGTTGATTAGCTCAAGCTTCCCCACTCGAGGTTTTTTTTTTTACTCTAGCTTGCGTATATATACAGCGCCCCAGAAAAAAATTCGGCAGATCCCACGTACCTAAGAATCGACCTTGTGGAAACATGCGGAGGGAAGGAGACTGTTGTACTTTTGTATTGAGTGACACAGCATGAAATTACACTAAATATACGATACGTACAAATGTTGCACGCACTGACATAAGTTGAAGAGTGGCAGATGTTTATATAAGTAGTTTTTCACACATGAGCAATGGTGCCAACTGAAACATGCGTCTTAGCAACACCAGATGCTGATACGAAGCGCCGATGCTTGCGAGGATGCTGGCCCTCAACACTGCTACATGAATCAAGTTCAGCACACGACAACTAACCACAATTGACGTTAAGCCGACGTGACGGCTGTGTCAAAGGAACACATATGTAATGTTCGCAGAATTGGGTAGGCATCACTGCTACCACCATTGACGTTTCACGAAGATTACCGTCTGTTCGAAAAGAAGTTCCCAGACCTTGCATATCTCTGAGGTGAAATGCTCATTGCCACGCAGAATGCTTGGGTTCGATTCCACCTCGGACCCTGAGATTTATTATTTGCATTCATCGGGTTTACCATACTGATGTCGGGTATTTTGAATGCTCTAGCGTTAAAATTGCCCATTTGTGTTCTCGTCTTTCCTTGCTAGATACTAAGTGTCGATTGCCTGTGGCACATATACGCACACCAGTGGCACATACCCGCCCATGGGTATGTGCCACTTTCTAGCGGGAAGTGTTTGACGACGTAGGCGACGAGATTCTGACATTATTCAAGTATTGACCAGCGCGTTATATTCGCAAACCATCTTACCCTCCCATGCTAATTTTCGTTCATGCCATAGACATGAGGCTGACCACGAGAGCACCCAAACGTAAGCAGCTAGATAGATATATATATATAGATAGATAGACAGATAGATAGATAGATAGATAGATAGATACGCTCAAAGTCGTCAAAGTTCGCAAAGAAAAGTTTAGCATTTAAAATGTGCGCGTGAACATCCGTAATTCCTCTAGAAAAACAATATTAAGGCTACACCCCTGGTGCAAGGCTTCCTTAGATGGTAGAGGCACAGAAACGCAGAAGAAAAGAGGAGTGGTTGAACAGGTGAGTGCGCAGTTTGCCACCCTGAACTGCGAGAAAACAATTCGACAAAAAGATTCGAAAGAAAACAGAGACGTCGAAGGTTCGTAATAGGTCTTTGGAATTCGTTGAATGTGCTTAAAACAGGCTCTAAGCTACAATGGTTTCCGGGGTGCTATGCAGAATCGGCGGAGTTTTGCCTGAGTCTCCCAAAACTTGGTATTTTCCCGAGCTCTGGCGAAACTCCCTTTTGAAGGACCCAACAGCAAGAAAAAGTCAAATTCATCCCTAAGCGGGCTGTGTTTATTGGTTACGATGGAACCAGTCATCACATCACGGATGGTTCACTAAGTTGGGAGGTGTTGTCAAACAAGTTGCAGTGATGTTCCGCACTACGCCGAAAACTTCCCATTCAGAGACATGAAACTTTTTTCCCAGAAAACGTTCACAAAACTCTGGGGTTTTCTGGGGTTTTCCCAGAACGTTTTCAGAACGTTTTCTGGGGTTTTCTCAGAAAACGTTCACAAAATTCTGAGCATTTTTTCCAGCAAAACAGTACTGATACCCGCCACCATCCATGAACGCGCATACTATATTTACACGTGTCAGACGTATTGGTGACTTGGGAAATTATGACTGGCCCCTCCACTGTCGTGCAACAAAAGCATAACTTTATTATTTCACATAACCTGCCATATTACAAAGATTCAATTTTTCTCTTTGGATCAAAAGGAGGGGTGGAAATTCCCCGAAAAAGGAAAAATGTTCTGCACGAGACATCACTGACCAGAGGCATGTTCTTTCATATGTTCGTCATTCCACTGAGTGCAGAAGCACAACGATGCAATAGAAGGGTGAGAAACATTTAGTGATAATCTTTTTCAGAGAAGCGTGGTGCTTATATTTATTTTGCCGCTTTTAATGCCTGCACTAAGTCTGTTTTAGAATAATCAGCAGGGTGACCTGTGAGATTAGCCCCGGTCGAGTCTCTCACAACATCGCGACCGCAGCTAAACCTAAGGCCATGTGTTAATCATCATGGTGAGTGTGTACATCATAGCGCGTTGATCGTCTGGTGCGCGTTGTCTTTGTTGTCATAGCCCGCTAGCGCCCTGAGTACGTGCGGCCGGCTAATTAGCTATTAAGGGCGATTCTCCCAAAGCTGTGTGTCGGTCCCTCCGAGCTCGTAGTATGTGACCATCTAGTTCGATGACTCCCTAAGCAGGTGCGGATGGACAGATGAAGAGAAAAACAGACAGACAGACAGACAGACAGACAGACAGACAGACAGACAGACCGACAGACAGACAGACAGACAGACAGACAGACAGACAGATGGACGGCCTGATGAAGGGACGGATGACAGACGAACAGACTGAAGAACGGACAGACGGGCAGAGAGACGGACAAACAGAGAATTCACGGTTCACCAATAAAACCCTCCAAAGCTTCGTCCCACTCATCATCATTGCTCCCATTTATATACTGTGATTCTTTTTTGGCTAGATGATATACTTAGCCACTTAGACCAGGACATGCATTCAACGAGCTAATTGCGCCAAGTCATGGTAAGGCCGAGGTAATTACGTTACATCTTAAGAAAACCATTCTACTGAGGGTATGTAAAGCTTGAACCGGGCTAACTAAAGCATGCTAGTTGATGAGCTAACTAAACTACGCAAATTAGCGAGACCTTGTTCATGAGCACGCTAAGGAAAACCAAGTAGCCCTTACTAATATGGGAAGAATTAGTACCCTGCTAATCGGGATTACGTTTAATACCTCCATACTGATCTAGCACTTGCTAATTTTAGCCGAGATAATTGCATTTTAGTTAAAACCTTATCAATGAGGACAAGGTAGGTCAGTGTAATGGTCGTTAGGCATCAGCCAATTGATACAATAAAATTATGACATAGCTGATGCATTCTTCAATTTTTCAAGTCCCTAAATCTGCCCCTAGGCATAATAACTTTTCAAAAATGCACCTACATGTTTTCTTCATTTATGAAGTCTAGTAGAGAACGGTGGTGTGGTCTACGAAGCCAGTGGTCAAAGTGGGGTAATCGGCCAGGCCTGAGACCTGTTGCATGGAGGTAACAGGGTCGACTCAGTTGTAGACCAGTGCAAGTCCACAGTAAGAGTGAGGCAGTAACATATTGGATAGGGGCGTCAAAAGTGGACATGATGTGCCACACGAGCCTCGGCACTTTTGCGCCGAAAGGGTGGTTACGAATGGGGTGAGCGCCGCCTCAACACGAAGCCCCCACAACGTAATCTCCTCTCGGTGGGTTAAACCACCAGGGAGGTCTGATACACACGGAGGTATAAGAGCTCGTGTGGCACGTCAGAGACTTTCTTTTTCCCGCAGCATCTGTACTTACGCGTCCTCAGGAAAACACGCTATCGGGTATGGTGTAACTTGAGGGTGGGTTGCCAAATCGGTTTTAACAAGGTCCGGTAAAGCGGCCCATGGAACCCACTGAACATGTCTTTGCACAGATGCGAAGGCAGCAATAATGTGAATAGTATCCGAGAGGAACGTACAGCGATACACTCGTCGTATGTCGTGAATAGCTTGCGTGGAGTTCGTAAGAATGATAAGCTGGGAGCATCTGCCTGGTTGTGAAAGAGTTACCAGCGCTGCCAGTTCATAACGTATGGCGGCCAGCTCAGCAAGGTGAGACGGTTGTGCAGGGTCCGCAAAATATGAGCATGTCTGGTCAGCCTCTGGTATTATTGGACACACAAGCGCGGTATGAATGGTGGTGCCGCTCACACTGGCATCCGTATAAGCGATGACAGTAGCGGCAGGTTATTTTTACGAAGCAGGTGGGATGCTTGGGCGTTCGCCTGGCGTAGAACCGGGCTGGAAAGGTGACCAAGGGGTTCGTTTTGAGTCAGTTGCATTTTGTTCCACCGATAATAGTGGTCGTCTCTGAAGGTGTGTGGTAAACTTCTTTGCACGTGTACCGCGCCAATGCAGCAGCCGAACACAACGTTGATGGCTTGAGGTTGTGCGCACAGCGATGCTGATGCACTGATTCACCAATTGTGTTTAGT